ATATGACGCTCCTCTCACGATGCGCGGGAATATATATGACTGATTGGTATAAAATCGCCGATATCGATTGAGGAGTTCTCACTTGGATGCGGCACGCCGCATCGTCTATGAGATGCATAGGTCAGGAACCTCGGAACCGTGGATTCATGCGAGCCGAGCCGCGAGCTTTGAAATGCAGTCGAACGACTCTCGATCTCGCGCGCCGTTATCATACCCATCCCAGGTTCAGCGGAATCATCGGCGCGGCAATCGGATGATCCCGCGAGCACGTACGCCGACGGATTTAAATTGCAAATTGATTTCGCTTCTTTGTAGTCAGCCACCTAGTGCGTGTACCACCTATCTCCGATACGTGACGCGGTAACCCGACACAAGTCTCACCGCACGCAGTTCTAGCGCGCGTGAACTCTTCCCGGAATTAGGTTCTAATCTCAAACGTGCCGGAGTTCTGGACAGGTGTATGGCGGGAAGAGTCGGAGACATTTCTTCCTCGAGGAAGAGATCATCGATCATGGCCAAATGTATGCATCGGTATTCATAATGATATCTCCATCTGAGAAAAGCGCGAGTCATCTCATAAATTTATATATCCTGGGAATTAATTAATTCCGAAAAGATCAGATATATAAATCTTAATTTGTTATTAAGAGCATGCAATTATATCTAATACGCGCGTGTTTCTGTTTCAAAAATAGAGCTAAGTATTACAGGAGACACTCTCTCTCTCTCTCTCTCTCTTCACAAATAAATCTAGAAATATTCTGACCAACGAATATGTGTACACGTGTGATTATATCTTTGATCCAGAGGAAGAAAGCTCTTCTTTTTCTTTCATATTCAGGTTTTTATTTGCTTCGGAGAATAGACGCAATTTGATAACATCTCTTTCAAGCAATTGTATAAGCTCATGTTTATTCGATTATTCTACTCTTATGTTTATTCTCGTTACGAATTTCTGAATAAGTATTGGCAGGAAGAAAAGATGTGTGATAAGACGCGTACGTACATGTTATAAGTGATGTCTTATATTTATCTTATTGAGTATATGCGAATGTATTTTCGCAAACAGTCTTTTTTTCGTTGAATAATTTATTATAGCGTTGCGGAAAAATAATTTGATATCTATCGTGTATCGGAGAAATAAATTTGTACGGCTCATTAATTTACTTGCACAATCGACGACAAAAATTCTATTCTCATTTCTTTAATATAAATAATTTCTTTAAGCATTGATATTAATTTAACGGTTAAATATATTAAGAGAGTTTAAATTTACATGTAAAAGAATCGAGAAAAAAGGCTACATTGAATTTTTCTAAAGAAAAATTAGTTCTATGTATGTTGGCCAAACAATTCATAAATAAAAGCAAAGTGAAACGAGAAGCATCGATGTATTCGCCTACAATATTGAATATAATTATAATAATTTAAATAATAAAAGATTTCCGTTACAGTCTCCCTTTTTGATAAATCAAAAGATAAAAGAACCGAAGACAAAACGTGCACTTTTATGACGATCGAGTCTTACACGTTGCATATACGTTTAGACTTGAAGAATAGGAGTGAAGATTACATACACACTGTCGAAAAACCGGGTGGTCGGTCCCTCTGATACATATACATGTATCTTTTTTCGCAGCCACCCTCTCGCGGTCCTCTTTTTGTTTCCTTCTCACTCGTACTTTGATACGACGACGCGATATGCTTGCATGTATCATCGTTACACGCGATCTCGTATTCTCTTTCTCGCCCGTGCCACGAGAAAATCTTTAATGCGACGCTCAAAGGAAGGCAGTAAATTACAAAGTAACGAGATCCGACAAAGGAAGATTCTTAAACGTCATTACGCGGTGCCCCTCGTTTAACGCGCGGCGAGAAAAACGGATGCACGAAGGTGCAACTAAATTATTCCTCGTTCTATTTATCTGGAAATTTTGAAAGCGATATTTTATAGCGATAGTTATATATTTATTTCATTTATATCATCGTGATTGAACGAAACAGAGTCCTTATTTTAAGACACGTTTCTTCGTTGAACCAACCGACATGATCGCGTTACGTAATCGAGTTTCAATATATGAATATATACTTATCGCGGCGATGCTACGGCAATAAAGCACGCTGCGTCAATCATCATATAATAACAAGTAATTATGTAGCAATTAAATCTTTCGCACCGTCGCTGGTATCGCCGTAAGCTAGCCGCGTCGTTCATTCGTCGGCTACATTGTCTGCGTAGATAATATGCACATACAACTGATTTTAATTACAAATTTTAATCGCGTTTCTTGCTGCTCGCAACACAGATTGGCGTATTCACTTTATCGTGGAAACGTGACGTGTTGTTTCGGACTTTTTGCGCGGACGCGTCTACAGAAATAAATGTGACGACTGTCTTAGTAATTATCGTAATAGTTATGGCCGATCAACACGTTGAGCAAACTCGGATAATTGCAAATATGCTAATGTTTTACATTCGCACTTCTTTGTTCGAGTCTCATTTGACATTAATGCAACTTTTAAATCGCTGCGCGAGGATTTATTGTTATTCGTCTTTGATTCATCAAGTATTATGTAGTCTTATTTTCTACTGCGCGGCGGCATTAATTATTATTGTGATCTATTTTCTCAATTTATTCAAAGAACATGTTTTATCTCTTTTTTTTTTAATAATACTGATCCATTATTTAATCGTACACATTTTATTGTACTAAAATTTTTGTAGCATATATATATTCCCTAAAAAAAGAATTTCCTATAATAAAATTTTCGCAACATCTTCAACACGTGAATATTTATAGATCAAAAATGATAAATTTTTCTCGAAACAAAATTAAGTAAAAATCGATCTCGTAGCACGACTGGCACGCGTATCGTCGCCGCATGATTATCTGTCGTAAGTGTCTCCTTACCGCATCTTCGAGTTTAATCTGCACGGACGTTTCGCAGAAGTCCATCGCAAAAATCGCGATGGTCAGCCCATTTACTGTCGCCTACGACGGATCGTGTCGGGATTCAGCTTTGGTCGGGGTTATATCGAAGGTCCGCCTAACGCGATCTAACAATGAAACCTCGAGAAAAACGATCCTTGTCGAAGGGGACGCGGGCAGGAGGGTGTACCGATGGGTTTCTTCGCGCGGCGCTTAACGACAATTTCGATCGTTTACGACTTTAATAATTTAGGCGCGGCTCTGCTCGCGAGGCTCGACACGTTTTTGGTCGTAAACCGTGCGACTAAATCCGTATTTATGGGGAGGAGGAGGCAGTCACGGCCTATCTTCTTCCTCCCTCTCGTCTTCTTCGCCCCTCTCGTTCCCTCTACACTCGTTACGGCGCAGAAACCGAAGGGAAACCACCGTCCGAAGTCGAATCGACCAAAAAGGTCCGAGGTGGCTCGGAACTGACCCTCTCTCGCGCGACTGATCGATCCGAGCTTGTCGCACGAAAAATCGCCGCTCGGTTTATATTTTTGCGCGCATATACATTCCCGGAGATGATTTGCATTCATTAATCAGCACGCGAGTCATTAATCAAATCCGCGAGTTGCGCAACGTGTCGATTATCAGCAATCGCCGCTCAGTATCGATGCGAGTACGTGATTGGTCCTTAATTAATTTGTCCCTCGACGCGATCTGCGTTTAGTCGCGACAATGTGTCGCGTCAATAATGCCATCAATCGACACACACACACACACACACATATATACATACATATATAAAATTGAGTTTTGCGAATAGCGATCTATGTAAATGACTAAATATCGTAGAGTGCAAGTGCGCGGATCAATACGCAAAAGGTATACGTCAAACTGTTCTGTGACTCTATTAATTATTTCTCAATCTATACTTTGTCAACGCAAGTGCGTTGACATCGATTTAAAGCTGCAAATGCACATATCCGAACTGGTCAATAATTAGAAAAAAATCAAGTCTACTCGATAATCATACGGTCAGAATTTTATAATCACGTTTACATTTACGAGAGCTAAGATTCGTCAATTTAAATTCATCGAACGAATTATATACGTACATAGTTCAGCGATTATTCCAATATTTGTTTAAATGGAAATTTAATCTGCAGCATCCGTATAATTTACGGAGCTTGATAAATATTTTTATACACTATGAAATAATTATTAAAAATATCTATTTAAAACTAGCGATATAGCAGATAGTACTTCTTAGCTAGTTGTAAGTTCATAAATTCATCATGAAAAATCAAATTTCAACGTAAATGTTTTATATCTGCCCCCCTCATACCGTGTTTATCGGCATTATATCAATATCTACATAATCAAAACAAAATCATTATCTGATAAATGCAATTCATCAAGGCAAGGAGATATGTATCTCGTATGTGGAAATATTTTAAAGATAAAAAAGGCCAATATGTGGTATGTGTGTTTGGTTTCATATCAAATATTTTAGTTATATATCAAGAATATAATTGTATGTCTATCTATAATCTATATTTAATTGGACGAAAAAATTATTTTATAGTAATAAATCAGTCAATTTAAAAACAAAATAAATTTATAAAAGAATATAAGAAATTAAATAATATTAGTTTAAATTTACTACAAAAATATATTTCTATAATAATTATAATAAAATTTTTAAAGTTAGTGTTTTTATATCGACCGATATCTTTTTCATCGATAAAACAAGATATCTAGTTCTGCTTGATGGTGCATGCATCAAATATAGATCAACTCTCCGATAGGAGAGCGAAGGATGTAGAACTTATAAAATACAGAATCTAATGAAGTAATCATTCATGTTTGCGTTAATGAACAATTATTATTACATATTATATATTGGTAGCGCATCCGCTACCTGAAGTTCGTGTTATATATATATATACAATATATAATTAGCTGAGAAGAGATGGAAAGAATTTTTTTTTTTTTTACAAGCAATATTTTACTTGTGATCTCGCAGTTCTGTCTGCGTGAGCGTGATTTTTATATTTGTACAATACTTGAATTTGCAAGACTTACCGAGGACGCAGACAATAGAACTCATCTACGCTCCTTCGAACTTTCTTACGTCCTGCAACAAAGAAATAAAATCGATGATTAGCACGTGCACCAACATAGATAAACATTGAAATATAACAAATTCGTAAACGTTAATGTTTATATCACACAAATGTGAATTGGAAGACTATTCTCTGTTCTAGAAAACCAGAAAAATGGCTAAATTTAAAAATAGTATATACATTCAATGTTTAAATATAATAAGATATATTCGAGAATTTTAAATAATTTAATAACTATCAAATAGTTTATTCGAAGCAATAGGGAAATTAAAATTTTAATTTATTTTGATATCGTGATATTTACAGGAGATAGTGATTTCTTTATACTTGTTGATCGAATATATGTATCTCGCATTCTGCGCTTTAAAGAACGCTTTGTAATTTGTCATATGTGATTTATTATCATTTATTATTACTAAATTAAATTAAAGAGCAGAATTAATATATTGCATGCTGTTTCAAATAATTCAAATAACAGAAAATAATATTGTACATATGTGCAATACATGTATATGTAGAATACATATGCGTGAATATAATGTACGAATTAAATAAAAATAATGAAAAATTATATATCTATGCACTGTCGGATTTTCGTCAACAAAACCTTCCCGAGGGTACACTTTAACATTGGTGTGGGAGGGTTAGTACCTGGAAGGTGTAGTCTCAAGGGGAAGCTAAGGGATAATTTGCGTAATTTGATTGGTTTATTTAATTAAAATAAATGAGAATTAAAGAAAGAATCACATAAAATTGATAAATCTATAAATCTGTAAATCTGTTTCTATTTATAGAAATATTTAAATATCTTTTCAAAATATCTAAAATTAGAATCCATTAAATATTCACGTATTATTATATGCATCAAATATAAAAGTCAATGCATACAATAATAAGTTTTGAAAATATTAATTATTTTGAACGTTGCTACAATTTGTATTTTACATTTCTGTTACAGATCGAAACACAGCATTGTTGTGTAGTAAATGCTCAATGAAAGCACGCTATGCTCCGACAAGCGGTTCGGCCCGAATCGGCTAGAGTTCTATCGATTGCCCGATAAAAGTAAGATTGTCATCGTTTGATTCCATCTAAAGACACATATGTTTTATTTTGATAAGCTGGCTAGGGCAACTTAGCACGATTCCTGCGATATCATAACATCTATAAGTCGCTATGATATCATAACAAATCGTACTTAAGCGAGTTCGAGTCACCTGAGATTCGAATATGTTCTGAAACAGAATCGAGGTGAATTCCATTCATGTCAATTTGCCGAGCAAAGTATCGTGCATCCGTTTTTATTGTAAATTCGTATCGGATTAAAAATGTCATGCATTCAAGTGCGGGAGTGCCGTGAAAAGTATCGCGCGTAATAAACTGAATGAAATTTTCGCGAGTGAATCAACGGACCCGGATGATTCTGACGAGAAAAGGAGGAGGCCTGAGAGGCATCGGGCGTCAGCGAGGCAACTCCGAGGTAATTTATTTTTATATTATTGCAGTTGTGTATTAACGCGCGTGACTTAAATTATATATGATTGATTGGTTTATTTAATGAATTTGAATAAGAGAGAGTTAAAGAAAAAATCATTTATATAACATTTATAAATTTGTAAAAGTTTCTAATCATAGAAATAACTAAATATCTAAATATTTTCAAGAAAGTTTATATAAGGTATCTATTAGATAGTGTTTATTTAGGGAGAGAAAAAAAATAATTTGATGGAAGGTACTGTGATAAATAAGGAATATGTGATGGGCTAGCAGGGTAAACAAAGTTTTGTATATAATAGGTATGAGGGTAGTGATAAATAAATAAAAAGAAGTTAACATAGGCAAGTGTGAAAAAATGTGTGTGATAAGTTGAGTTATGTAAACTAAATTTATCTTGGTGATAAGCTGAAATAAATCTCTATAAATATATCTATCTATCTAAATACCTTTTAAAAATATCTAAAATTAGAACCTATTAAATATTTTCTTATTATTATATGCATCGAATATAAAAGTCAATGCATACAATAATTTTTGAAAATATTAATTATTTTTAACGTTGCTACAATTTGTATTTTACATTTCTGTTACAGATCAACACAATTAAATCTGCTGTTGCGCATCGATCGGTGAGTGAGAAACTTTTATTTTATAATAAAAAACACAAAGTACATATAAGTGTATCCTAATTTTTTGTTTTTTTGAACTTTTAACTGTTGCAAATTTAAATACTTTTTTATGTACTTAGCGGTTTTTTTATATTTTTGAATTATTGTTTCAATTAGTGTATTATAATATATAATACATCTTTAAAAAAACTTTAATTTAAATTATTAGTTATCTAAATCTTCTGTCTAATTCTTGCTAAGAAAAAATAATGCGTGCGTGTCCGAGAACATCTAATCACAAAACAATAATTAATCAAACTGACAATAGCGCTTCGAGTTGCGTAAAGAATCACAATGCGCATCGCGAGACAAAATACAAAACGTGTACAAAGCGGGTCCCGTTTCTAATCGTCCCCTCATATACGTATACAGAAAGAGAAATGTGCGGCAAGCCCCTTTAGTGGTTCCTTAAACCCGAAGACGCAACAAAGACCGGCAGAAACAATGAACCGTCTTAATCAGCATAATTTCCATCTTTCGTGAGCGTTGAGAAAATCGTCGTCGGTACTGGGAAAAAGAAAGAAAGAGAAGGGAAGCACGGGGACGCGAGTTAGAAGTGTGACATGCTGCCAGCATAATTACAGTGGCATTAATTAATTGTTAGCATAACAATGCTAATAGCGGGGTCAGCTGCAGGGATATAGCACGCAAAGAGGAAGGGACGATCCCGTAGGACCCCGAACCTTCATAAATTTACATGTCCTTTGCCGCGAGAATCATTTTTTATAACCGTTAAGAGAAGGCGCGAGAAGGAAGAGAAAAGGAAAAAAGAGAACAGAAGAAAGAGAGAGGAAATCATATATATATATATATATATATAAGAAGTTCGCGGACCTACAGCAACTCAACGGCACATTAACGAAACGGGTCCCCATGGTGTTGTCCATAATAACCATCGATGTCCCTCTTTAAGGCAAGGTACCTTCGAGGTCCGACCTCGTTATCCGCCGCGATCAGGATATTTTTAAAGTTTTACGGTCCTGATTGTAATTCTCATTCCTTTAGGATATATAATCCTTCATCAATATGTATAACGCAAGTATTCGTGCAAATCCATCAAATTATTTATCAAGCTGAGATTTCGAGTGTGCGTCGTAATTAAAAATTTAGATATTGTATATTTATAATATATTTTTAATAAATAAATTATATATCACTATGTATGCATAGATCTCACAAATAATTTTCTCAGAAACGTGGAAATTTTGGCAGAAAATTTGTCTTTCTATCACAGAAACAAAATTAATATTTTCCTAAAATACAATATCAGATTGCATTTTCATTAAAATTCATTAAGAACGTAATATAAATTTTTGTTTCTATTTTAATTTTTCTTTTCATGTATACTTAGTTTTAAAATATTATTATTATACAATCATGCACAGAATAGGAGCGGATGTTTTCGAAAGAATTTAGAAAGAGATAAAAATATATACCTTTGAAGTATTATTAATTTAGAAAAACAGTTAAAATAATAAATGTCATGTTTTCTCGAAGAGATAAGAGGAGCGCGTGACACACAAATATAGAGCCGGAAAATGTAGAAAAATGACATTTTGTAGCGATAAAAAAATATTTTTAACGTAATTTGTAAGCTAGACAAAATCTATCAGATTTAATTTTAGACGACGAAGAAATTCGGTCTATTTTTCGATGTAATAAATGCGATTTGCTCAGTTGCCAGTTGTTTTAGTTACGGCAGACGGCTATTTTCATCGATATGATTTCCTGCGAAATCCGAAAAAAAATTTTGTAACGGTATTGGAGTATCGACCAAGCGATTTCTCGCTGTGTTAAAAGAGATACGCGATCGTAACGTGAGACGAGAACGTGGGTGGTTTAGCACCGCGAGAATGCCTTTAGACAGTTATTTTTAATGTCCTCTAGCGTCCGGAAAGAGGAATGCATCATACCCGCTACGGATGCTGATGAAACAAGCTTTGCATGGATCTTTTCATTTGTAACATCAAAACTATTTGTTTTACGATATCTTGAGAGAGATTGATCAAGTATTACAGCTTGTCGAATGGATGAATGACATATCTTCTTTATATATACCCTGACCCTTCATATAGTATTGTGATATCACGTTGATGTTCTGGCACAAATCCATCAACAAGTCTAAAAACATGATTTTGGGACACAAACATAATTATAACTTTATAGCTGTTGTAAAAGTCAGGCATGATACTTAATAGAAGCTACTGAGCTGTCCGGAATTGTCATGTTCGCTATTTTTGCAAGTGATATAACAAACAAATCGTTAACTAAACGAAATTGTGTGATATTAAAATAAATACGAAACAAATATGAATATTTATAATTTTTTAAATACAGCGACGAATGTAGATTGACGTATTTTACGTATTTGTTTATGAAAAAATAAGTCTTAATTCATGCTCTCAACTTGCTAACTCATTCTTATTTTGTGAAAAATTTTGGGTTCTTGAAAATATCTTGACAATAAGTACTTGTTAATATACAATATTTTTAATAATCGCGTAATTACATATTCGGCGAAATTAATTTCCTAAATTTACGGATGATATCACTAGCTAATATATGCACCTGCCAAACATCATTAATCGTGTTTTCTTGCGAGCGATAATTCATGCCGTATAATAAAATCGTTATTATTAACGATCCGGAATACCGTCGTACACGATTAGTCGGCAGACGCCTCATTACGCCTGTCACCAATAAAATAACACCGTGGATATCTAACGGCTAGTAAAAAACCGTGGCAGCGACACTTTAGTAGCGACGCCTTTATCGTCGCCTTTTTACGATGCCCCTTTTCGCATACTCGGTGCACCCCCGCGCTGCTATTGGGTGCTCTAAAAAAA